TAGTATATAAAAATACTTAATGGTAAGGAGCAGGAAGACCTTAGTTGAGTCGTTAGTACTATCACGAATTGCGACACCGTTTATGGCCCATGGCTGTATGAAAAAACAAAAAAGGCAATTCAACGCACTCGAAACGCATACGTAGGTACTCGTTTTTGCTTTAGCGTCCCAAAGAGAGCCCATAATATTACTCCTTATTACATCTTAATGAAAACAATATTTTAAAAGTGGACGCATGTAGGAATCTCCACTTGGTTTGCCAAGTTCGAAAAATTACTAGTAATAAATGTTCACTTTATACAATAATTGAAATTGGAGTAAGAATGCCCATGAAGTAAATACGTGTAAAGGTGCCTCAAACATGCTGAATATTCCATGCCATAAGGCAATAAATTTCAAAGCATGTTTTAAATATTCGGCCACATAAATATAGAATGATTAAAAATTAATATTACATTTGGGATATTTAAAAAAAAGTTTAAAAAGGAGTTATTTCATAAACAAGTCTTTTAAGGCCGAATGACTGCATGTTTATTGTATGATAATATTTTAATTAAACGTCTTTTTATTTAACACATAAACTGTGATGAGGGTTACCACTAATATATGCAACCTGTACGCTCGACAGTGGTACAAATGTGCCTAATGTCGCCTCTACACGTTGGCCAACACAGTGGCGAATGGAGTGGCGAATATATTGGCCTAGAGTTGGTGACGGCGTTGCGCCCTCCTTTCTGGTGCGCCCTCCTTTCTGCTGCGCCCTCCTTTCTGCCAAGGAGGGTCGCGTTCGTATACGGCTTAGAGATCTCTAGTCAGATCGTTAAGCCATTTCCTAAAAAGGCGGTGTTTAGTGGGTAAAAGTCTCCACATAACCACGCAGCCGGCTGCGTGGTATGCTATGAGCATTCACCGCCTCCCTCCCCCCGCTTTCCGGAGGGTTGCCCATATTTGCTTCGGGCGCAAAAAAAAAAAAAAAAAGTGACGGCGTCCACACGTTGGAAGGTCGTTCAGTTTACTTCGGTGCGGGCCAATGTGCGGACGAATTTATAAGCACCGTGGCGCAGTGGCTCAGCAATGAGTGGCTGCGCCGAGCGCCGCGGGTTTGATCCCGCACGGAACAAGTATTTGTATGTCCTACAAATAATTGTTTCGGGTCTGGATGTGTGTCCTTGTGCAATTTATGTTTGTAAACTGCCTGCGCGATACGGGAGAAAATCTTAGTGTGGGGTTAACGTTTTTATAAAAGAATTATAAAATAATAGTGGTTATTAATGGGGCTGTAAATAGATATACGATATACAATTAGCTTTATTTATTTTTTACATGCATCATAAACCGGAATAAATACCATTAATAAGAACTTAACTTATTTTAAAGTTAAAGGAGTTATAATCGATTAGTCTATGTTTTAAAATTGGGTTTTGATTTTAAAGTTTAGCAAAATATGTACCTACTTGCATTTCTATCAGACATTTGATGTATATAAAAAACACCATATAATTTATTTGGTAATTTAATTTTTTTTTGAGAAAGACAAAAACAATAGCAATAAATATAATTAACATTGACTTAATAATAGGTACTAATTATAACTTAGAACATAAATGAAAAACTCATGACGAGCAAAGTGGCTCAGGACCATGCTTTGCGGCTGTCTGTGGAGGAGGATGTTCAGTAGTGGACTTGTGAACAACTGTAATGATGATGATGATTCGAAATCTTGCACGATTAAATTATAAGAAATCGTCGTTTTTTTATAGGATAGTGTGACAAACGAGCACACAGTTCACCTGATGGTAAGTGGTTACTGTGGCCCACAGACATCTACATCTATCCTCGATTACGAATCAAAATGCAGATGCGTTGTCACCCGTGAGGACTAAGATGAAATGCCTCGTTTCCTTTAAAAAGGGTCTCTGGTTCTCTACACTCACTATACGAAACACAGCATCATTAAGCTACTATTTTACGCTGATATTCTGTGAGAGCGTGGTCCTTCCCCGGTCGAGCCGACCCATTCGTGCTACAACTATACTTCTAATATAACTGCATGGTTCTACCACATATAAACGATGTGCTTCATTTTTTTCATTTTAAAATTGTCCTCGTAATAATCTGATTGTAAATAAATGTTCATTATTTGTTTTGATAAATAGCTTATCGATTAAAACAAATATTTAAAAATAATTAAATCGCGCTAATTAAAGTAGTAGTTGAAATTAGCACTAAAAGGCTAATAGGGGCACCACCCTACAAAGCGTGAATATAAAATTTAAATCAGGTGCGTGTAATCACTCCTTCCTCGGTCGAGCCGACCTTCGTGCTGCAACTATACTTCTAATATAATTGCATGGTTCTACCACGTATAAACGACGTGCTTCATTTTTTTTTCATTTTAAAATTGTTCTCGTAATAATCTGATTGTAAAAAAAACGTTAATTTTTTTTGATAAGTAGCTTATTGATTAAAACAAATGTTCAATAATAATTAAATCGCGCTAATTAAAGTAGTAGGAATGTTTAAAGTTGAAATTGGCACTAAAAGGCTGGTAATGGGGGCATCCACCCTACAAAGCTTGAATATAAAATTTAAATCAGATGCGTGTAATCACTCTGGGAGCTTGTAGCAAACTAAACGCGCGGCCAACGTGTGGACGCGGTGACCAAACTCTGCCAACAATCCTTTGATCTTTTGTAAAAAACCGACACCACACGGATCTCGCGCCAACTTGCGGGCCATCGTCCCAATACATACCAATGAAGCCCAAACACCCCGTCTACAAGTTGGCCAATGCTATTGGCCACTACATTCGCCACTGTGTTGGCCAACGTGTAGAGGCGCCGTAACGCAACGCCCTCCGCCCGCTCGACAAGGATACACATTAGTACCACTCATAATTTATGAGGGCGAACCCGACAAAAAAAGGTTTGTCATTAAAAATTATAACAAATTTATACTGAAATGTATAAAACAGACATAGACAAAGACATACTCTTTAATTTGGTACCATGATCTGTCAATTTCAATTCTAAAAATAGACATAAAAATCATTCTAACGTAATGGCTTTTTAATGGCTTTTTACAACAGTAGTGCGTGGTAGTGCGTGAGTTATTTCTGAGTGATTTCTCCGTTTTTCTGTGTGTTTTTGGAATAAAAAGGTGAGTTTTATACTTTTGTGTATTCCTTGTAATAAAACAAACACGTAGATATATAATTTATGGCATAAAAAGTGAAAAGTAAGTGCCAAATATACTTCAAAGTCGGGAAGGCCCATTTTAGCGGTTGGGTCAAAAATGTGTTATTTTTACAATTCTCATAAATTTTTAGTGTAAATGTAACTAAAAAATAGTTTTATAACATATTTCAAATAACTTGACGTTGTACTTATTTCAAATTCACACAAAAATATATTTGAAATAAGTATTGAATTAATAAGAATAAAGAATTCTCATACAGATAAAAATCAATTTCGTTTTATTTTTAATTTTTTTTATTTTTATATTTTGGTATGAGTAACGAATAGAAACACATAAAAAATAAAAATATACATATTTCCAAACATTTTCATATAGATTTCTCCAAAAACAAACATGTAGAATTCAAATTAGTAGTAATTTTAGACTAAAAGTGAAGTATCTACTACTACTATGTTATAAAGGGTAATTTATGAATTTTATTACAATTTCTAGCAACTAAAAATAATTTTATTCGATAGTTTATACATTCAATAAGAATCCCTGTAAGTTTTATCCATAAACATTGTCTCAAAGTGAAAATATAGCAAAATTTGCAAGTTAGCAAAAAATTTGCATTTCCCGCCATTTTATGTCGCGAGCCAACCGGCGAATCGACTAAATTCGCCTTCCGAACATACAGGTGTACAATGTACGTGCGAGCGAAAACCACTGAGGTATAATGTACGTAGTACATTAAACTTCAATTCCGAAAATATACCCAAAACAGCAGGGACTGGCTGAAAACCAGTACTGAGCATAATGCCCAGCGAATACTGAGCCTGTTCCCGTTGCCTCACAGTATACTCGTATACCTACTTAGTAATAGTAGTTAATTTGTTAATTTTAAATGTTCATTTTTTATTGGTTTTTTAAGTCTATATTTATGTATAATTTACTTACTTAGTTTTCATTTGTAAACTTATTACCGTGTGGCAATAAATATTATTATTATTATATACATATGCAATGACTTGGTAAAGCCTCGGAGATATTGGCATACATAGATATACAAAAATCTTACTCTAATTCAAACCGTTATCCAGGACCCTGAAGGTATGATAATTACTGAGGCACACAGTAGTCAAGTTTATTTTTTATAGAATGAGGGTGACATGAGGATATCCGCAGTAGAACCAGATTAATCGACATAGCCCAACGGATTAGTAAGCTGAAGTGGCAATGGACCTGCCACATAGCTCCAAGAACTGATAACCGATGGGGAAAAAAGGTTCTCGAGTGGCAGTCTTTTACCGGCAGGGGAAGTGTAGGGCGTCCCCCCACTAGATGGAGTGACGACCTGGTAAGGCATGCAGGAAGTCGATAGATGCAGGTGGCTCAGGACCGTGCTTTGTGGCATTCCTTGGGGGAGATCTTTGTTCAGCAGTGGACTTGTGAACGGCTGTAATGATGATAATGATGAAGGGTGACAAATAAGCACATAGTCCACATGATGGTGGATGCTGTGCGCCGTAGACAACTACATTAATCCTCGATCAAAATGCTGATGCATTTTCACGCCTGAGAACTAAGATGAAATGCCTCGCTTCAAGTAAAAAGGGTGTCCGGTTCTCTACACTCACCATACGAAACACCGCAGCAGCTGCTAGGTTGCGCTGGTATTCTGTGAGAGCGTGGTCCCTTCCCGGTCGAGCCGACCCATTCGTGCTGCAACCATTATATAGCTGCAGCGTAGCTCTACCAATTCTGCAAATCTAGTAATTTTTTTTCACCTAGTAAAATTATAAATATGAAACAATAATTACCTTGAATCTATTTTCTTCACCAACAAATCCGTAAGGTATTCCGAAGTATTGGTAGAACTGCCCGTTATCACTTATCCGGCCCCTCACTAATCCGTTGGTAGTCTTCACTATGGGTGTTGGAACCTTCACCATGTTTGCCACTATCAGAGACGCCAGTGCTAACCACTTCATTTTTTTTCATATCAATACAATTAGTAATAAAATATAAATTCCCTCCAAAATACAACAGTGTATTTTTTAAGTAATTTAGGGTTTATTTATAATGGTAATTTAATGCGGCCAGTACTATATTAATTCTAACTTCAATTTATATGCATTTTGTTTTTATTTGATTAATAAATAAGGTTAAATTATTTTTATTTGTAAACGATTCAGTCTTTTACGGTAAATAAACACTCATCAACTTAACACAGTTAAATATTTTCAAGTGCACTGTGTATTTTTATAGTCTGTTCACAAAATTAGCGCGTAATTTATATAATCTGTCATTCGTTGTTTTATTGCGATTTTTTAACGCGTTCGAGCGCACGGAACACTGCGCTATGAGTGCACGCGATGGCCGAAGCGTGAGGTCAATTCTACGTAATACCTATTGGTGTTAAGGGCGAATCCAGTCTTAAACGCTTTCTGTGTATTAGTAGCTCTAGAACGTTGGAAAACAATTTATTAGGTAGTCATATTATTTTTCGTAGTGTTTGCCTGGCGATAGAAACTATTCTCTACTCTTCTATTCTACTACACTCCTTTCTAACCCACTCCATTCCACGCTAATCCACTCCACTCTAAAATCGTTTTTTGTGTGAACCTTTGGGGAGGTGAATTTTTAAACAACATACCTCTTTTCCTGCTAGCCTGACCAGTCGCCCGGGTTGCCCATGCCAAAATAACGCCAAAATTTTAGCAATATTTTAAATAATATAAAATCCGTAAAAGTCTATCATAGTTTTATATTATATTAAATTAATAAAACAAAATGGAAAATGATTTAGTAAGAACTAATTTTGATCTTTGCTTACTCTTACTGGCATCATTTAAAAGCTGAGGCGGTGAGATGGCTTTTCTATCGCAAAACGCTTCCTAAAATCTTCCGCCTGGAATCACGCCCCCCTTAACTACGCTACAGTCCCAGATGTATTATCCATGTATAATTGTTTAAAGCATATACTACCATAGGGTATGCTTTAATGATAATACAATTGAAATATGTATGAATTACATTAGGAATGAATTACACTCTGAAGAGTTCAGTAATTGCCATTATTAATTTTATTGCACATTTTTCCTAAGCACAAAAAATAATAAGCTATACTATAAAATACAATATTTTTATTTCAAGTATCAAGACTTAAAAATTGAAAACATTTTCCCAAGGAGGTACCTTTACCTTATAATATGAAACCAATTTAAATTTTAATATCCATATTATGCTTCGATCAATTATATACTGTTGATCGAAGATATTATGCATAATATTTTCGTAATATTTCGCTTGGCATATATTGATGATCAGAGTACCAGGCGTATCGCACCTTAATAATATATTAGAAGAAAAACCAAAATAAACGTTTTTCTTTATTTGATTTTTTCTTGTTTTTTATATAGAATAGGGTGACAAATAAGCACATTGTCCACCTGATGGTAAGTGTATAGACATCTACATCTACCATCAATAAAGAATCAAAATGCAGATGCGTTGTCACCCTGAGGAATAAGATCGAATACCTCGTTTCCCGCGAAAAGGCTTTCCGGTTCTCTACGCTCTCCATACGAAACACAGCAGCATCAAGCTGCTATTTTACGCTGGTATTCAATTCAATTCAATTTATTTGCTATTCTTGTTGTACATTTGGTCTTATATTTAAAAAAAATGTTCAAAACAAGAACCCTCCAAGGGCACTGCAAATATAGGCAATTATTTATAAAATTATTAAGATTATTAATACATTCACATTATAGTATTATAAAATTATCATTTAATGAATATTTACAATTAACTTAAAAATAAATTGCATCATATTATTTGTTTCAATTTCCTACTTCCTACTCAATCACTAAAAAACTCCTGCAACGAGTAATAACATTTTTTCGTTAAATATGTATTAACTTCCTTTTTAAATTTTTTAATGCTTTTAATGCTTCTGATTTGTTCTGGAATGTTATTATATACTTTTATTGACATGGTATAGGGACCGGTGTTTACGATATGTAATTTTGATGTAACTGTGGATAACTTTATTTTTGATCTTAAATTTTTAGGGCGAAAATATTGAGGGAACCAGTCGATATTATTTCTAACTAGTGAGCATATTTCGGATATATATAGGGATGTTAATGTCAGGATATTATAATTGATAAAGTAATTTCTACAACTTGTTATGGAGTCGATATTTGCAAGTATGCGTATACATTTTTTCTGAATTAGAAATACTTTGTTATCGTCTGTGCTGTTACCCCAAAGTACCAAGTATTCTGTGAGAGCGTGGTCCTTCCCCGGTCAAGTCGACCCATTCGTGCTACAACCATAATATAGGTGTAACGTGGCTCCACCTAAAATTATATAGACACGTTTTTATAGAGAATTTTTAGTATTTAGATTATAATTTTTTTATAGGACAGGGGGACACCCTGTCCTATAAAAACGACAACACAGTCCACCTGATGGTAAGTGGTTGTTGTGGCCCATAGATATCTACATTAATCCAAAAATGCAGATGCGTTGTCACCCGTGAGGACTAAGATGGAATGCCTCTTTTCCAGTAAAAAGGGTTTCATGTTCTCTACACTCACCACACGAAACACAGCAGCATCACGCTACTATTCTACGCTGGTATTCAGTGAGAGCGTGGTCCTACCCCGGTCGAGTCGACCCATTCGTGCTGCAACTATACTACTAATACAACTGTAGCATGGCTCTACCACGTAAAAATTATGTAATAATTTGCTCTAAAAGCCTTATTCTGCAAGTACAATAGTTTCTGTTTCAGCTACGTTTGCTAATAGCAAAACTCCATACGCCGCATCGTCAAAATAAAGCAAAAATAGTTTCCGCAAGTGAAGTACTTGAGAGTACTTCATTTGTGGAAATTATTTCTGTATGTTTTTGAAGTCGGTTTTACTTTTCTTAAAGTTTAATTATAAATGATCAAGTTGCCCTTGCACTTGGAGTTCCTCTTGTGTTTTACAATAATTAATTGCTCATGAGCTTATAGTCGTAATAATTATTTGTAGGCTATACAATTGTATGTTTCGTGCGGGATTAGAACACGTGTCCCTCCACCGTTCAGTCAATTATTACATCTTAGGTGACTAAGACACAAAAAATTACCACCAATTAAGAATTAAGAATTTTTTACAAATTAAGAATTTTTTACAAAATTCAAGGTTCCCAAGCCGATTATTTATTTTATCTCTACCTGTCCGACTTTGTATAATACGAATAGCTCCGTCAGCTCTAGGTAAATAAAACCAGTAGGTGGTGTCAAATTGCTTCGGTTTACATAAAACATGATATCTCAAGAGCTAGACATCTCATTTACACAATGTTTCTCATTTTAGATTATTTAAACATTTGTTCATTGAATGTTTGAAAAAAAAAACAATAGAAATTTACGAGTAATAATAATAACGTCATTCAGACCAAATTTCAGTTATGGTTATCGGCCTAAGCAGAGAGTAGCCATCGGCGCAGGACAGGATTATAGTGCCCAAGTGTAGTGCAAGCATAGGTGCACTCTCATAGTCAGATGGGACGGTAAACCAACGCGACAAGAGAGAGATTAGGGCTAGAGAATAACGGCTTTACGTGCTTTCCAAGGCAGGGGGGTGAGACACCGCCAACTTCCTGAGTCAGGGCAGCTACCGAGAATTTCTTCAAGCAAAAATCAATAAATGCTTTTTTTTTGCCCGACCCGGGATCTCAGATCAGAAGTCACGTTTACAACCATTGGATCAACGAGACAGTCCACAAAAGTAATAGAAAGAATTTGTCAAATTTAGCCTATAATTAAAGTCGCAATAGAAATATATCACCAATAGCTGAAATAAATGGTTGGATTTATACACGTGGTAGAGCCAAGCTGTAGCTATATTAAGATTTACTGTGCTTTGTGTGGTGAGTGTAAAGAACCAGGGACACATAGGGGTGACAACGAATCTGCATTTTGAATCTTAATCGGTGATAAATGTAGATGTCTATAGGCTGAAGCATCCACTTACCATCAGGTAGACTGTGTGCTCGTTTGTCACCCAATGCTATAAAAAAAAACAACAGATACATTTTCACTTCTAAGGATTAATGTGGAATGCCTCACAGTCAGATTTATACTCGTAATATTACGATGTTGACAGAACCTCTTATAGCTAGTGGTCTGGTCAGTATTATGATTATCGGTTCAATTATGTTTTTATTGACGTTGTAGCTCGTTGGCGAACCACGCAGAAGATTTGTATCTAAAGTAAGAAAAAACATGCTCTCATACAAACAATCAATTAATTAATTAATTGTAAAGGGGTAAAACTCCCACGTTACGGATGATATTTATGTTAAACACTCGCTATCCACACTTTTTGACCAATAATAAATGTTAATGTTGAATGGTTATCTTTTTAATTTGCATTCTTTACTTTTTCACAATATACACATCGATACGGAAGTGGTACGTCACTATGTTAGCCATTTAGCACCGCGGGCAGCGTGTGGTAAATATTAGCATAGGTGGTAAGACTCCTCTTTGAAAGAAAAAGGGTTAAGAAGAATGCCTTTGAAGTAAGTAGTCCGTCTTAGTATTGTACAACTTCTCACCTCTATGCTGTCAAATAGCAGTTCGTACATGGCTGTGTTCTGATCGGAATAATATAGAGAGCCAGTTTAATAACAAGCTGTAAGGTATTCCATCTATGTCCTCACATCTGTAGCCTTCTATGTTAGAAGTTGTTTGAAGGTGTCAAAAAGTAAAAACTTCAATATTTGCAGTAAACTTCAAATAACTAAAAAGACAAAAATAATAATCTGCATAATAGCTTCTGAAGCCAAGAGGCTTAATTTATCGATATTCTATATCTTTACACCAACTTCAGAAGCTATTAAGTACTAGAAATTATTTTAATTTTTACTTCTTTTAAAAGTTTAAAGC